CTCTATGCATGAAATGTGAATCCCCATGTGACCAACAATTCCATTTTCTGTCTGTTCCAACTCTAATCCTCACAGTTTCACAGCTTTTATCCTTCAACTACAACACAGAACACACTTGCTATCACACTGCCTACACTGCTTTGTCACAATGAGTAATTATATCATATTGATATCAGTTTATGTGGGGGCTCATGCGTTTCCATGTGTGAGTGTGGGTATAACACAGTTAGCCCCTAAAACAATTTAATCCAGTTAAAGGGATTTTCAATTAATCCAGGAGGGCCCTACATTTTGACAGTGCTATATTTTTAGCACAATTCCCTTCTGATGCAACAGAATTTATTTCCCCCTCCACTTTTAAGGCTAATACGATTCAGTGCTCCCTCCAAATAGACTGCAATTTTTTTTAGGACACTATGGTCGGTGTATGCTCTGAAATTAAGACAATGCTGGACTTTTATGTAACTATCTGTCTCTGTATCTCTCATATGAGCACAATTCTGCCATTATTCACATTTTTTTAATGCTATTTCTATAGCCGGCTCCAATGAAGCAGCCGTTGCCTAGGAAGCAGCCCTGTGAGCTACATCATTAATAGTGGTGATGTTGATTACAAGCAATGATTAACCTACGAAGATATACACTGTAATTTACTTAATAAGGTTATGATGAGTAGTTCTTTGTTTAGAACTGAAACTTAAGTGTATAGTGGTAGATGTGAGAATACTCTCCATGAAACACAATTTGTATTGGGAAAACAGGGCTTTCAGGATAAATGACGTAGCACTAGATCAGACTGTAGCAACTTCTGATTGTGATTGCATGTTTGAATGTTTCCTAAATAAATCAATCAGATCACAAGGAAAACTTAAATGACACTGGTGTGATCACATATGTTCCACCCACTACCAGGAAGAAAATATAACTCATTTCAAAATTTGTGTCTGAAAAGAACTCTCAAAAAATTTGATTACAGGCTGCCATGGCCGTCCCTGATATCCATCAAATCTGCTTAAATTACTGCAGGCTTGAAGCTGCACAGTCCAGACCAGTGGCCTCAGGCAACCTGCCTGGGTGTGGGCACTAAGGAGGTTAGGACAGGAAGTCAGAAGGGGGAGAAAAGCATGATGGAAGAGGACAAGAGAGGACAAATGTATAGGCCGAGTGGAGAGACACATTTACAATTTGTGGTCTAATAATTGCAAGGACATTGAGTTGTGCCTTCTTCATTATGTTATATTTCTCTAGACACTGTGAACAAAGCAGGTGAAAATCTTTAGCTGGGCAACAGACCAGCACATTAAAGATAATGATTTGGTGCATTATGCCTTTATTTGACAGTGACAGCTGAACAGAGACAGGAAAGGCGCAGGAGAGAGCAGGGATGATATGTAGCAAAGGGCCTGGGTTGGCTGTGTTGATAGAACTGTTACACAGAAATGTAAAAGTAACTTATTTTGAGAAGATCCTATGTGGTTTTCACAATCTGATTCACTAGAATGTTCTCATGAATATCTATAATGGATAAAATGTCCAAATATTTTGGAGGAAGATTAGCTTGTTTCCCTCAAGATCATAATTTGTACATTTTAAAATGTTTTCATTGTTCAAATCAGAGAGTACTGTACTTTCTTCTAAAGTACAAGCAGACAAGCTACCTAGGCTACCAAAAATTAGCCTACTGACATCTTTGGCTCTGTCTCTCTCTTGATCACGTAACCCTCACCCTGCAGGTCGTAGCAGCCTGTCGAGTCTTCCCTCATGGGAATAGAGATACATACAGGTTGGATAAGAAATCTACAAAGCATGACCTATTTGTTTCACAGCTTTGTTATACACAGTGAAGTGATGCAGCAAGAAAAAAATGAATATGTTTTCCTCTTTTCTGACCATTTCTTAGGGTAATGCTTACTATGCTTTGTTTTAGCTCTCAGTAGGTTTACTTAAGTAACAAGCCAAGCAACTGAATGGGAAATGGACTGGGGGAAAGAGGATAATGTAGTTATATAGAGACAACTTGAGCCATTGGAAAGAACACTATCTGAGATGAACTCAATTAGGAAAAGAATAGAAACTTCAGCCTAAACACAGCCAGTCTAATATCAGCTCTTCAAACATCTTTGTGAGTCTAAACAATGTACATTTTCTGAATATCCTGTGAGTGTTGTTAGTATTATTCCAGCTGATTTGTGTTACATTACACAGGACTACTTTTAACTCTGGCTTGTCTGTGCATCTTTGATTAGACGTTAAAATCGAAATTACTGGGTCAGCTGAGACAACACGGTTATTAGGGATTATTGATCAGACATTGTTCCTCTTCTCACTGGGAAAGCCCATATCATCACAAGGACTATCATCTGAGTGGGCCTGCTGCTAGCGGTACACGATCGTTGCCATAGTGTTGGTGTCCAGGGAGACAGCTGTGGCCTTTTAGCAGCACCCACACAGCATACAGAAGGTCATTCCTCACCTAAGGTACCTTTCTCCGACTGCCCATCACAGATTGTTTCCAGGCAACCAGGATGAAGCTTTTTGTTTTGTTTTTCCTAGGAAGCAGTCCACCTTCTCAGTATTTTTCTTGCCATTTAGGTAGTAAAATAACAAATATATTTAAAGAACAGATGGAGCTACAAGAATCTAGCTGAAGTGCCCCATGAAATTAATTCTCAACAATACAACAAGGATTAAATGCAACAGCGCTAAGTGGTGAATTTGGGGCATTTAGCTACACCCTTATCTAACCAAACAACAGGGAATAAAGTGAAAAAGCAGGCCACAGCTCCCATTATCTGGGTGTGGTCACTCTTTCCCCAAAGATGCCGATCCATAGAGCTGCCCTTAGTCTAGCCCTTCAACTTGCCTCTCAACTCAACACTATTGCTCTGTAGCAAAATGAGAACGCAAACTGTTTCACCAAAATAAGGTGGTAATTCAAGGGAGAGTCGGCATCTAAAAAAACACATTGGATTTGAATGAAATACTCAACTGTACCGTCTGTTCTAGGATGAGCATATCCAGCAGATGCGGCACAACAGCATTCATTTGGTGTCAAATTGATCCTGTTTCGTAGCACATCGAGTTAAGGGGAGCAGCAAAGTGATATTTGTGTGTGATATGTGATCAATGGTTAAACAAAAATATTAATTATAGTCGCTCTCAAAATACTGTGTGATTTTGTAAAGCTCTTTCTTTTCTTGTTTATTTTAATATATAAATATGTGATTTGTTTTACAATGACAACTGATTCATTATGCAGTAATAGCACAGAACAGAGTTAACATTCAAGAGCCTTGAAAGCCATGAAAGGGGTTTTGTTGGTGAAGCCATCCATTTAAACGATAACTAACTTACTGGCTAATCAGCCATCTGGTGTGTATGCGTGTGTGTTTTGTACCAGCATATCTCTTAATCTTATATCTTCAATCTAATGAGTGTTGTCTACTACAAGGAATCATTTGACCATCAGTCTCATAAAAAAATAAATAGAAAGAAAATTAATTTAGCATTAAAGTCAAAAGTGATACTCTGCCATCTTTTCTATTCTTTCAATATCCTCAGCAAGTGTAAGCCCATAGTATGTCTGCATGAGCAAATATGCAAGAGTGAACCTGTTCTCATGACTGAGCTTCTTTTAGTCTAACTGATCCATAGCTGAGTCTGTTTTTGCATGAATGACCATGATGCAGTCTGTGGCCATGTAGCTGTCAGCAGTGACAGAAAAAGACTGCCAGGCACGCAGCTGGACTACCTCCAACAGTATCTAACCGTACATTTAAAAAACACACATTAACACACGCACATAATTACATAACATTACTGAGTTAAGTTGCTGACTACTGCATGTTAGCAATGATGACAGATAACAGGGCAGGGTTTGTACCAAGGTTTTGGCTGTGAAGACAGACAAAAAATCTCCCACCGGGCAGGATGTCATAAATTCTACTATACAAAAATAAAAAACAGTGTTATGATGTCCAGATAAAAGAGGGGTGAATGGTACAAAGTTAACATTGTGTTGTGTTAAAAGTGATTCCTCAGTTCATATAGTAAAATGAGAGAGCCCAGTGGTTCCTGGGAAACTTAAAAAAATTATGGTTCTTGTCGGTGGGAGAAGGAGTGATGGCAGAGAGTATGGTTAATTCTTCATTTACATCTGGTTTTCAAATGTGGAGGCAACAAATGGGAGACTGCAGCAAATAATTTTGGTATCGGTACAAATCAAATATGAACTAATGTATGTTTCAATACCACACCAATGAGGAGAAGGTGACAATGATCTCAATCACCAAATGAGTGACAAACAATCTACACTGACCTGAAACATTGTCAATAAAAAAATATTTGTCAATGCAGACTGTAGCATGTGGATTATGCTACACTAAATTCAAGCCATTGAGGCTCGTAACACAAGCAGCCATTATGCTCTGTCAGTTCCCCTCTGACAGTCTGTCCACACTCCTGCAAATGGGCGTGTTGCCAAGACAACAGCTCACACACCTTGCCATCCGAGACCACCTGGGGGAAACCTCCAAAAGACAAATTCACTAAATACACAAATGCATGCATGAACGTACAGTGTAAACAGAAATATACATGGCAATGCACACAGACACACACTCCCATGCGCAATACACTCAAAACCACCTCCTTATCTGTTTTACACCACATTACACATGCGCTCATGTCTGCATAACCAAGACCAAACACAGGGAGTATATGTGCACATGCGTGACACCCCACTATGCACAGCTGTGTCCTGAATAAAGGCTGCAACAGGGACTAGAGTATACTACACTCACTGACACTCTCTTCATACACAAAGAAACACAATAATAACATCTTAAAAGTTTCAGTAAATATGTATATTTTGCTCATTTGCAGGCAAAAGAAAAGCTGTTATCTCAAATAATAAGTGTGTGAACAGTGCAAAGTGGTTGAGAAAGACAAAGATTATGTGCGTGTCTGTGTGAAAAAAAAAGAAGGAGTTGAAAGTTTACCAGTTTTCTGTAGTGCTGTTTCTCTTGGCGTAGTGTAGCTACTTCAAGCTTCAGAGCTCGGTTTCTTTCCTCCAGCAATCGAAGTAAGTGGCTTACATTGCAGACTGAGAGTCCAGTACCTTGCTGGGATGAAACTTCATATCTTGACTGCAAAGAATAAATAAAGAAAAATAAACAATATTAGACATTTCTGTTATTTTTACAATCATTATTAGTGGTAGTAGTTGTCATACTACATGTAAAATCTAACAAGACTAACAAAATTAAATATACAGTAACAAGGCAAAGAATCTACCGCCATGCTAACAGCAATGTGAGGCTGTACTTGGCACAGTGGAGCTTGTTAGCATGCTAACATTTGCCAGTTAGCATTAGTACAGTGTACAAAGTACAGCTAAATGTTATTAGTTGTGTAAGTATTTGTGTAAATAAATGTGTGTACCAAATTTCACGGCAATTGTGACCCTCATGGAATAAATTATAGGATCACTGAAGTCATTAGGATACAATATGCGGGAACCATGAATGTCTGGGCAATCTGTCAAGTGGATGTAGTGATATTTCACTGGACAAATGAAACATTTGACCCATTGGTGGCACTACAGAAAAAGTCAGAGGATCACCAAAATTAGGATTCATCATCTGGGCACCATGGTTAATGGTACCAAATGAATTACCAATAGATGTAGTTATGACCGAATGACCAATAGACAGACCGATTAGGTGGTATGAAGTAAATACGTATGGAGGAAACCGATTAATATAACTTGTGAAAAAAAGGACATAGAGCTGCTGTCAATCTTGCTTACAGTGACGTACTCAGGCTTTAGTTTCATCCCATGGGGTCAGTCAGAGAAAAAGGATTACCAAGCCTGAAAATGAAGCTGCTACTGCAACAGGTTTTGAGCTTCAGCAGGATTTGCCAGTCAATGTTTTTCTCCTTAGAAATGTTCTTGATGGGATTGAACTCTCCATGGAAATACACTGCATATCTGTAATAGCCAGGCTGGAAGCTCCTCATGAGGTCTGTGAATAGTTTCTTGTATTGCTCAGTTAGTTTTCCTTCATGCCAGACATCGATGTGATGGCACTTTTTTGAGTTCACAGTTTTCTTGTTTTGGAATAGAACTGCTCTGCTGTCAATCTTGCACTTTTCAAAATTTCCAATCACTTGTGGTCCACCAGGGTGGTTGTAGATGATAGAGAAATGGAGCAGCTGTTTGGCTGAGGTAAGCAGACGTGGATATAAACTCTGCCTGTGACTCCTGAACTTAAACACCCTCCAAGGATGTGAGGATGCCCTTTGTTCTGTTTTGTGGCAGAGGAAATAACTCTTCCCTATAAGTTAATCAGAAAATGGATTTTGTGCTCTCCTTCAGTCTATCCATTTTGAGTAATACAAATGTATGAAATGGGAACATTTTGTAGAGCAACAATCTGAAATCCCAAATGGGGTGTAGTCTTCCCATTTGCGTCCTGAAAAAGCACACTTAGCCAGCCCAGCAACTCCAATATTACTTCAGCTATAAAAGGAAAACATTACCACCCTATTCAAAAGAAACCTGTGCTACATTAACCTGAAGCCTGTTCACCTGTCTCTTTTCGCCCCTTCTATCTCTGCTCTTTCTCCAAAATCGAAATTACCTTTTTCCATGTAGAGGAAAATTAAGGAAGAGGTGAAACTGTCAGCCCATTGTTTTCTTCTAGTACTTTTCCCTTGAAGTAACCCAACCAACAGATGGTTCTAATATCAGTTTATATTATTCTAATATATCAATTAGCATGTTACTAGAGCATTTGTTTTCTTGTCAGGCACACAAAAGAACACACACACACTTACACAACAACCAGATCCCCTGACTGCAAGCCAGATTATCATCCTCCACAAAACAAATACTAAAACAAAGTTGCAGGCAATATGTCCGTTTACACCGACAGCCAAAGACACCAAAGCCAGTATGATGGACCTGCCAAGCAGACAGAATGACAGCCAGATCCACCTGCTACTACAGCAGACCTGCCAAGCAGACAAGCCTACAGATAGACCCACCAGTGTAATATGGTGGACTTTCCAAGAACAGACAGAGAGATAGATAGACCTGCCAACCAGTACTGTGGGTTTTCCAAACAGACAGACAGACTAACACACATTCAGTCAGCCTTTTTAGAGTGAGATGTTAGAAAATATGGACAGCCGTGTGAGAACTGATTTATGAGTCATTTAGACTAGAAACCCACTGGTGCACAGTTTTAATGTGCACTCACAACATCAATAACAGGCAATTAACCTGTGGTTAGAACAGAGAAGGTAAAATATCAGATGACAACTTCTGAACATTTCACATTTTTCAAATCTTTCAGACACTTTTAATTCCATACAAAATAAGAAAATGATAAAAATAAAAAACTAAGCTGGTTGGACAACGCTTATCAATGCCAGGTTGAGACATCTAATTGAGACATGATAAGTTCAGTCCCCGAATCAGTCAGCCATGTTGACAACAGAGGCTGTGACTGCAGGGCCCAATTGCGCAGTCCATCGTTGTGCTGAGGGAGCTGCCAAAGTTGCTCTGACAGGAGCTGCGTCAGAGTTGGTAATCATGATGCACTTATTCACTGTGGTGCCAGAAGAAATACTGACAACATCTCACCCTAAATGTGAGCCAGGAGGGGAGGAATTAAAAAGGGACACAGTGAAAGGTGCAGGGAGGCATTCTGGGCCATGCATCTACTCCCAAAGGCGTGTAGTCTCACACACATTAGGAATATCAGCCTTTTAATTCAGTGTGGATTAGCAAATGGTCCAGTGCATCACATCACAAGTATTGGGATGTCAGTTTGCATTCAGTCATTGTGGGATGTAAAACAATTTGTTTTCCATCAGCTTTGGTCAGAAGGTCCGCATCATCACACCACTGTGGAGGATACTGTATGAATAAGCAGATAGTGAATGTGTGGTAGGGTGGTAGGTTGAGAGTGGAACCAAGTATTCATTAGTTGATTAAAAAAATATGCACACTAGGCAGTCTCAGAAAGAATGAGAGAGAGAAGACCGCGCAGCAGTCACCTTGAGACTCTTATCATCAAACACACAATTTTTTCCCCTGTGTATGCTTTTAACATTAGGTTTTTCTCTCCCTTTAGGTATTGATCACAGTCAGACTAGCACACATAAACAAAAAATTATTTCCAAGTGCCTGTATACATCTGTTAAAATATCTTTTTAAGTTGCTCTTTACTGTGCACTTTATTAAAAATTGCTTGTTTCCTCTTTATTTATTTTTATTTTATTGTCTGGGACAACATTTAGGAGGTATCAACCAGGCTCTTATAGAAACTGACTTCCATATCCTACTAGTGTTTGCAAATTAAGCCATACGAAAAATGTCTGAGGGAACTTCCACACAACAGCATATGCTCAAGCTGTCCTACTTAGCGATTTGGGCATACAACGATAATGGAAGTTTAACCACGTGCTGCTCAATTAACCTATTGACAGAAATAGCCAGGCAAATACTGGTGAAGGTGATGTTATCCCAGGCTCATTTAATGATCTATTCAGTGTCTTTACCTTAGCTCACTTTGCTAGGTTGATATTGTGATTTGTGTTACAATGTAAGATGTATGTTTTAACCACTTCAGATGCTATTAAATGCTTATATCATTTTGTTCTACTTCCAAAGAGAGAAATTACTTTTTGTGTTTACCAACCACGATAAAATGGTCAAAGGTAGCAGCAAAAGGTAGTTCGTGTGTAGCTTAAAGGCATGTCAACAAAGCAGAAAGGTCAAAAGGGGTCCTTAACTACTATGATGGCTTTCACAAAGCCATCTGAGACTCACGTGCATCTACTTCAGAAGAAGGAACACAGGGCAGCACACTGTACAAGCTGGGATGTGAGGTTCATGGACGCATTTCTGGTGAAATACTATAAAGACACTTTTCCACGCCAAATTATTTATTTCTATGAAACAAACATCATCTGTGGAAACATATTTCCTAATAACAGGGGGGGACAAAATATACAGGGAACTTCATTTCTGTATATTGTCTGACCTGCACAACACTGTTGACAACACCAGTGATGGGTACACTGTGAATGGATTATCCATTTAAAACTGAGGAACAACTGGGGGCTCGGGTAACTGTTTATTAATCAAAGCAGATAATGTGAGTGGCTATTAGGATGTCACAGCATATAATTATGTAATAGGGCCTTTTGCTAGTTTATGCTGTGCACACAGTTAGGCCCTCCTCCACTTTTGCAGTAATTAATAGCTATCGATTTTAATTCATCATGATGCCAAGAAATGCCATGTGTGCATTCATTCCATGGTTCGCTTTATAAAACCATTATTTTCTAGGATTTTTATGGCATGTCTGCTTTGTTGGCTGACTTATGATGGAGGTACACAGTAGAAAGGATTAGGAAAGCAGCATGTGGTGGTTGGATTTGAACCAAGGGCATTGTGGTTAAGTGGCATGTGCTCAGCCAACCAAACCACCAGGGCACGCGATAATCTTGCTTTGAATGGGAGTGATTTAAATACGTAGTCATATCGCCATCTGGTGTGTGAGTGAATTTCTTACATTAGGTCTGCCTGATGCAGTCAGCCGTGATTGTACAGCTATTGACCTACTATTAAACAGATTTTCCAAATACAGAAAATCAGTCTTTTCAAGCCTATCGCAACTCGTGTGTCCAACTCAAGTGTTGTTATGAATGTGTTTGACTTGGAGTAGGATTCAGACAGACTGCTATAAAACTAGGGCTCAGGAGAGAAATATTTAAAATATCTGATAATCTTGGCAGCAACAGCAACATTCATTTGTGCATTATTAGTGTGTTTTGAGATTAAGAAAATCAAAAGTATCAAACAATCTAAATAAAGAAAAAAGGGGGACTGGGACAGCAGTGTGTACAGACATGGATGTTTTTGCTGATACAGATAATGTCAATGTCCCTACCTTAAAGGCAGTAACCCCTTTGTCCCAAAAGGACTCTCTTCCCTTCCGTCACATCACAAGCTGGCAGTGAAGGTGGAAGCGACACGTCCGTGTGTGCGCACGTGTGCCGGTGTGTGCAGTTAGCAATAAGCGTTTCCAATCTCCAGCTTTAATAGCTACCCCAGTCTCTACGCCACTGTAACAGGCTGGTTGTCTCACCCTATCAGTGAAAGCAAAAGCAGCTACAGTGGCTTGGCACTCAAACACACACACACACACACACACACACACACTCCCTCTGTCCCACCCCTGAATCTGTAAACGCTTCCTCTTGCGCTCTCTGCTCCTTCCTACGGTCGTGTTTTAAACCCCACCCCCAACCCACCCCTTTCACTCTGTGTCTCGCTCGTCTGTATCATACGCAGACGTGTGCACGCCCTGCTCAACTGACCAAAAACGTCACTCATGCTAACAAATACAAAACAGACATGCGTGGCAGCTTTCATCTAAATGGACTGTGTCGTAGTGATGTATAAATCATTACATCCCAGATGAGCATTTGTTTCCTCTGAACACATTTCCCGAGCAGAGCAGATCACGGTCCAGCATCCCCATCTCCTCTGTGTACCGTACCTTCTAACAGGCAGAAGATAATGATTTTGCTGACAGAAGCAATGATCCCTGCATCACTCCATCCCACATATAGTAATTCCATGGTATTACTACTCCTCTAGCATCAAATCAAATCTGTCATGTTCCTGGACAGACCGTGGACACAACCATTGCTCTCAACCACACCTTTGCTCTCTTCACCTCTTCTAAATCCCTGATCAGGGGACTCAAAATTAAATCAGTGTGGTGGTTTTCATTGAGGTCACATCACCAGCAGGCACTCGACATATTCTGTCAATAGCTGTGCTCTTTTTAACACTGGGACGGAGGCACAGGACAGAGGAGAGGACAGAAAGAAAGAGACACTGAGTGTGCGTGAGTGAGAAGAGAAAGCAGAACGTACACTCTGTTCCACTCTGTTGCCTAGCAACACTCACTCACTGCCTGTTTCCATCCTTGCTGTAGATGCATTACTCTGTGCATTGGATTTCAGGAATGACACAAAGCCCTGTGAGACCACGGTTCAGGACCAGATGGAAACTGGCTTGGTCAGAAATATACAATGACCCCTTCAAATATGCAAATAGCTGAAGGCATTGTGTCCTTTAACAAGCTGCTACCTTTGGGACACGTCATCGCCTGCCCTCTTTCTCTACCTGGTGGATATTTAACCCTGAAATGTGTTTTCACAAGTATGCTGTTCTCTTCTGGACAAGTTTGTAAAAGTAATGGCAGAAAACTCCAAACATTTGAGATGGGGTTATTGAGTTGACCTGTCATCAATCACCTGGTGACAAATGATGACACACTGTTTTCCAAGAGGCTAACAAATAAGATTTTGTAATAGAAACACAAATTGGGGCTGTGTTGTTAAATATGTGTATATTACAAAATAGAAAATTAGCCAACAGCATTTGATATTTGATTCAAGCCCTGAGTGTTCTCTTTGACCCATGGTAGTGCTTCTGTTTTTGTGTTTTCATCCCCATAAAGAGTCATAAAAGTCAAGGATATAAAGCTTATTACAATATGTCATTGCCTTTTATAAAAGAGGAGTGTTGGACACCGAATCTGAATCAGGCAATGGCATGCCAGTTGCTATCAGAGCTCCCAAAATCATAACAGCAGACAGGTGTGCATTTTCTTAGGGTCGAGATCTCTTGTTAAGGTAAGAGATTATTGAAAACAACGGATTTGTGGTCAAAAACACAAAACTCTCTACCTTACAAATGTTAAGACTCGAGGAGCTGGAAAGAGATTAAACAACATTCAGAAACAACTGTGCTAGAGCGCAAAAATGAATGTCGAGATCACATCATAATTTTGTTGCACATACAGTGGGTACGGAAAGTATTCAGACCCCTTTAAATTTTTCACTCTTTGTTTCATTGCAGCCATTTTCCAAAAATCAAAAAAGTTCATTTTATTTCTCAGTAATGTACACTCAGCACCCCATCTTGACAGAAAAAAAACAGAAATGTAGAAATTTTTGCAAATTTATTAAAAAAGAAAAACTGAAATATCACATGGTCATAAGTATTCAGACCCTTTGCTCAGTATTTAGTAGAAGCACCCTTTTGATCTAATACAGCCATGAGTCGTTTTGGGAAAGATGCAACAAGTTTTTCACATCTGGATTTGGGTATCCTCTGCCATTCCTCCTTGCAGATCCTCTCCAGTTCTGTCAGGTTGGATGGTGAACGTTGGTGGACAGCCATTTTCAGGTCTCTCCAGAGATGCTCAATTGGGTTTAAGTCAGGGCTCTGGCTGGGCCATTCAAGAACAGCCACGGAGTTGTTGTGAAGCCACTCCTTCGTTATTTTAGCGGTGTGCTTAGGGTCATTGTCTTGTTGGAAGGTAAACCTTCGGCCCAGTCTGAGGTCCAGAGCACTCTGGAAAAGGTTTTCGTCCAGGATATCCCTGTACTTGGCCGCATTCATCTTTCCCTCGATTGCAACCAGTTGTCCTGTCCCTGCAGCTGAAAAACACCCCCACAGCATGATGCTGCCACCACCATGCTTCACTGTTGAGACTGTATTGGACAGGTGATGAGCAGTGCCTGGTTTTCTCCACACATACCGCTTAGAATTAAGGCCAAAAAGTTCTATCTTGGTCTCATCAGACCAGAGGATCTTATTTATCACCATCTTGGAGTCCTTCAGGTGTTTTTTATCAAACTCCATGCGGGCTTTCATGTGTCTTGCACTGAGGAGAGGCTTCCGTCGGGCCACTCTGCCATAAAGCCCCGACTGGTGGATTGCTGCAGTGATGGTTGACTTACTACAACTTTCTCCCATCTCCCGACTGCATCTCTGGAGCTCAGCCACAGTGACCTTTGGGTTCTTCTTTACCTCTCTCACCAAGGCTCTTCTCCCCCGATAGCTCAGTTTGGCAGGACGGCCAGCTCTAGGAATTGTTCTGGTCGTCTCAAACGTCTTCCATTTGAGGATTATGGAGGCCACTGTGCTCTTAGGAACCTTAAGTGCAGCAGAAATTTTTTTGTAACCTTGGCCAGATCTGTGCCTTGCCACAATTCTGTCTCTGAGCTCTTCAGGCAGTTCCTTTGACCTCATGATTCTCATTTGCTCTGACATGCACTGTGAGCTGTAAGGTCTTATATAGACAGGTGTGTGGCTTTCCTAATCAAGTCCAATCAGTATAATCAAACACACCTGGACTCAAATGAAGGTGTAGAACCATCTCAAGGATGATCAGAAGAAATAGACAGCACCTGAGTTAAATATGAGTGTCACGGCAAAGGGTCTGAATACTTATGACCATGTGATATTTCAGTTTTTATTTTTTAATAAATTTGCTAAAATTTCTACATTTCTGTTTTTTTCTGTCAAGATGGGGTGCTGAGTGTACATTACTGAGAAATAAAATGAACTTTTTTGATTTTTGGAAAATGGCTGCTATGAAACAAAGAGTGAAAAATTTAAAGGGGTCTGAATACTTTCCGTACCCACTGTAGTCATGGTTGGGACAAATCTGTTTGGAAAGTTTTATTAATTTAAAATTATTATTATTAAAAAAGGCATCCATCACAATAAATAGCAATTATTTCTATGTTGTGAAGAATGTATTGGAGAAGGTGGCTGACAAACAGCAACTCCATCATCATGACTCTAAAAACAACGTTCTAAGTATAGTCCATAAATGTGGTGCTTTATCCTCAGATTTCCTCCCCTCAAAGGGACTAACAAGAGAGGAAATCAGGTTGGTAACAGGATAATTATAGCACTAGTTTTATCGTAGCTGTAGTAGTAGTAATAGTAACAGGCCTACAGTATGTGGTACCACAGTACCTTGCCCTTGGTGTGCAGGTGGTGATGGTGTATGTTTCTGGCAGCGATCATGGCCAGCTGTCTCTGGATCCACTGTAACTCCATTTGAGACTGTCTCAACAGCTCCTCCACATGAGCACTGGATGTGTGATCCCGCATTATCACCTGCAAAACCCACACAACCAGAGATTACACACTCTGAAGCCACACTGCAAACCTCACCCTTCTCACGCCTCCATATAAGCATATGATTACTGAACCACACACACACACACAAATACACACACACAAAACTAAAACATAAAACTGAATGTGTGATTATTAAATGTGCTGTAAGCATATGTTCATACAAAGTACCTTGGAATTTTGACAGGTAACCAGATGCATTTGCTCAAGTGCTGTACTTGAGAATGCTGAGGTACCATGAGTGTTTCTAGTTAAGATGTATACTTTAGTTTCACTAAATTTCAATTTTGAAAAACTACTGTATTTCTTCATGTACATTCTAGAATAAAATGCTTTTGAAAACTGAATTACATTGTTCTGTTTTTGTTACTCAAGTCCAGATTCTAGCCAGTATAGCTGGACAATTAACCTGAAGTTTACATAAATAGCTTTCCAAGTATTTCTTACTTTACATTTAGCACATCTACACTGCTTCATTTTACCATGCATATTTCAATATTTCAATGTAATCGTCCTTTTTTTCTGACTATCTTGTGCATTTTTATTTTGGTAGGCTGCCACCCAAAACAATATATAGTACATCCACCAGCAAAAAAAAAACCCTTGCAACTCTATGTGATCTACTCCATCATTTAGTAGATCACATAGATGTGTATGATGTTTTATTTTACATTACCACCACACATTTCCCCCATACTAAACTGACCTAAAACAGATCCATTGTAATGTAGCAAACTGCACAAAACTTAAAAGCATATAGAAGAATACATGGCATACTGCATGTACATAGCACTAACAAATCTAACAAAGAGTTTCTTGGCACTTACTGTACAATTCCTTCATCGTCTTTCAATAACATCTCATAACTTGCTTGTTACTGCATGAGTACATAGTGGTACATAATCAATCCCTTACAGCAAACATTTCGAATTTAACACTGCTGCCCTGTGCATCAGTTCGTCTACATGTATTTGTAGGTGCTGACTGGTATGATTGATATATACATGTGTGTGCCCATGTGCATGTGTATGAGTGTGTTCGGTGAGAGAGGGAGAGCTCCACTCACTTACATAAGAGCGGATTACTGTATCACAGCAACACAATGACGGGGTGAGCATGGAAAAAAACATTAGCTTTTATCAGTCAGCGCTAAATCCCCATCTATGTCGTCCTGTTTTGTACCTTTACGCAAACACAAAGACACAGGAATACTGTATTCACAGTTACTACTATACAGTGACAAATAGAGGGTTAAGAAGGTTAATGCTGCTTGTATGTCAGGAGATTTGACTTATCCGACTCTACTGCTGCATCATAATAAATACTCAAACAGCTGATTTCACTCATCTGCTTTCAATAATTAATGGACAAACAAGTAATACCAGTGATTTGTTTTCATACTTTTCTCAGAGGTAATAGAGAGAAAAAAACTGTAGAATTAGCTCCCTCTTCCCCTGTCTCTCTTAGAGACTCAGCCAAATGCTCAAACAGATTCTTCGCACTGACTCACCTTGGACAGCTTCTATTTCCTTGCAGGGGACTGGAGGAGGAGGACAGACACAACAAATACAACAACACACAAAGCTCAGGAGTCATGTAGATTTATGCAGAAATGTCCCATCCTGCCAAGACAGCTATGAATCTGCAGTGCCAAGTATCTCTAACAGATTTACCAAAGAGAGCTGTGCCTACGTCATTATCCAGGCCCAAATTGGGGTTGCTGAGCTAGTCCCAAAAATATCAAAAATAAATTTCAAAATATTTTTTTTTACAAAAGTTGCTGCAAATGGTTTGGATGTCTTGCTCCAACCTCTGTTCAAATATTTTAATGCATGCACTTTGTCTGCAGTGGAAGAGTTTCAGCAACCAGAATAACTTTGTCAAACTGCAGTTTGAATAATCTTAAAATAAAAAGGATATGTTGCACCTGAAAAACAGCATAACTTAAATGTTCATAAAATTCCTTAACATGCATAGGCTCCAGTGCAATATTTTTCAGTTAAATACTGTATATATTGGCATGAATAACTTTGCAATATTATTACCCACCCAAGTAATGCTGTTCTGTTTCTCTCGTCCTCTTCTCTGTGATCTTCTGGTTTGCTGGCTTCTCACCTTCCCGGCTTTGGAAGAGTCTGGGGAAAAAAAATTATATGAACACTCTAAAACGTAAAAGCAAACACTGCAGGGATGCTGTATATCTGCATTGCATGGCTTCAGAAGTCTTTCAGTCCTTTACAGCGTGTCCTTCTCTAAGTATGTTTCAGCAGCCTGATATGACTTGCTCTTTTCAAACAGAAGTCAGTTATGATTCAGAATTTTCTCTCACGGCATTCTTGTACCCAAGGCTGCATGCTGTGTGACCATATGGCACACTTAACAAGAGGATGAAATAGAGATGGAAAAGAACATTTAAGGCCAACCTCTCACCTGTTATCACAATATGGGGTGGAGAAATGGCCTCATCGTGGTGCAACTGTAAGCAATGTTCCAATCTTGTAATGTTAGCATGACCCCGAAGCTAACGTCTATAGTTTGATTTGAGTCAAAACTTAAGAGCCCCTCCCCACACATTCTTGGTCCATATCCACGCAGGTGTTTTCACTTTGCCTGATAAACTCCTGTCATTACTTAGTGGGAGTGTTCACACTGTAACGTTACTTGAACTCTCCAGAATCTCCTGTAGATGTAGTGGCACCTGTTAGGGCAGAGCAACTTATCCTTTTTATTAGCATGGAGTTTGCTGAGGTCATAGGATGCAATGAACCCATACACTGTATATAAAAATCAATCTGTAGAAACTTGTGAAAGCATCTTTCTGGTAGTGCAGGGCTGCATTACACATTTTGCAGCGACTTCAGGACAGAACTGCAACAACACACCGACAGACATACACCGCCCTAACATACTAGTGGCGCCTTACAAAGGTGCTAGGCTAGCATGTAAGCGAAAGATTGCCTATTTGCACATTAAACTTAAAAATGATGGAGCCATGTTTATGGCCACCTGATAACACAGACATCCAATACGGATTCTGTTTACTGTCATCATCGACTGCTTAGAAAATAAAATGTTGCTTATACTGGGTTTGGCATAGCATTTTAGCTGAAAACGGCTGCTGTGGCAGTGAGACTGAAAATCAACAAAGTGCCATAAAATTCTCTAAAACAGGCTGAGCACCACAGAGCTGCAAAGTTTGATAGTAAGTTTCTGTCATTCACAGACCATTATGGTTATACAGCATTCAAACTTGGGAGTATAGCCTTCAGCCTCAAACTAATATAAAAAAAATCTTATTCATTTGTAACGGTTAAAAATGTGGCTGATAGAAACAGACTTATTCACAATGTGCTTTTGAAAAAGGTTTTATTGATGTACAATAGTCACACATCAAAGACATCATGGAGAAAAAACATAATAATACAGCTCCAGATAAAATGCATTCTTGTTGTTGCTGCTGCTGCTGTAGCTGGTCTCAAAGAGGCTTTTATATTATTTTTCCAGTAGAGAAATAGTCCACACATAACGTTCAGGCCAAACTGCTATAAACATTCACCTTGACGGATGAACTGGTCCCAGAAACTTATACCACATTGTGAACAAAATTCCTTGTTTTTATTTGTTTTAATTCAGACAGAAGTGCTGACTTAACACTTCTCCCCCTCCTTTTAGTAACTGTGTTGCAGTTTCAAACTCCAGTGGGATGCTCTTTATCTGAGACTGCTTCAGGTCTCTCTCCATCAGCTGGGGATAAGAACATGGAACACAGTATTTGCATTATTAGAGTTAGTGTCTATTTAGTCTCTATGCACTAATAAGACAACACTGTTTAATTGTTATCCAAATGATTAAACACTACAGAAACTGATGAAGAAACCAGTAAAGTCTGGAAGTGTCACCTCATATGTTGTAATCTCCAGCAACTCGCTGATGTCATCCTCTTGTTCTGACAGAGGTGTGTTGATCAGCATAGCAGCTTTGGCCACATCTGGATGGTAATGCTTCTGCAGTGTCTGCAGGAAAGGATTAGGAAAGAATTTAAAATGAACTTGACTTCATCTCTTTTCTAATCAACATGACAAAAGCCTTGGTTCCTCAGTTGTAGTCAGTGCCATGGGTGACTAATTTGTGAATCCAAAACCATCACATCATGTACACACCTTAATCTCCCACAAGCTGCTCTCTAAGGCACGGCACTGAGCAGGATCCTCTTCATCCAATAGATAAGGATCTTCCAAAGGCTCTGTCATCATGAATAGAAACACACATCTACATAAAGATAGTACATCACAGTAAAATTCTTACAAAATGTCTCGATATATTAAGCGATGAAATTACGAACGTTTAGAAATTCTAGCCATAAACAGAAGAGTGACTGACACTCACCATCTTCTGTACTGGGCTTGTGAATAAGGACTCTGCAGGATGGGTGGCGACGGATCAGGTTGTAGATGAAGGGCAGCACTATGAGGAGGGCTGTGGGCGGTGCTGTGAGAGCCAAACGAGCCAGGCGTTTGGCAAACGCAGCCACTAGGTAGACTGGCAAATGACTGGAGGGAAGCACAAACACGTATACGGCATATATGTTACTAACATGTATATGCTTTTTGAGTTTTTATGGTCATTACCTTGAATAGTGGGAAGCAAATCATTAGGTTATTTAACAATTTAATGATCCCAGATATAGACAGTTTGAATCACAGAAACACATTTTCCCCGAGAAACTATTGCTGCAGTATCACTTGACCTCCATTTAGATCAGTTAGGCTGGTCAGTGGCCAGCAATCAAAAGGTGTTGTTACACTGGGACATTTAGCTGTCTATTTGTAACTCAGGTCCCCGTTTCAGAAAACAGGTTCAACAAACTCTGAGTGTAAACCTGAACTCTGGATTGACGAACTCTGAGCTGTCAAACTCAGAGTTTCCGGTTTCAGAACAGGTGTTTAAAATTAGTTCAGTCAACTCTGAGTATGTTGAACCTGCTGGAAGCGTGTGCATGGGGATGAAAAAAAGCCATCATCAATGGAGCTTTGATACTACGATTCCCCATGGCAACGGGTAAATAAAGACAGAGCCTCCATTTTAATCGGGTGGAGCAAGAAATATGAATGTGTGCCAACGCGGACCATGATTGGCTCTAAAACGCGAGTGAAGGAAGGATCGATACGTTAACAATATTACATTTTATACAGCGTTGGTCATTCATTATTTACCAGACTGGAATTTCCTTAATGAATGATAAAGTGCTGGGATTCTCCTACAGCCTGTTATTCATTTTAAATAGCTACAGGCCTGTTTATTCAGCTGTAACCTGACGGGACTAAATGCCGGTGGCAATAACTGAAGATGAAAATGTTAATCGAACAGATTAGACATAGTTTAGGCTACTCATGGACCTGTGATTGTAAAGTGACAGTCCGACTCAGTAGGCCTATGCCTATTAATGTTTTTTTTGCAGTGTGTCTAAATGTGTCTAGGATCAAACTGACTGTGAAGTTTTAGACATCTATGTTACATAAATAAAATCTTGCTTATTTCGTATTTTATGAAATGCTGTCAAAACACATTCAGACTATCAGCAGATAATGAAAAACTCACTTTTAAACTACATTTATTTCTTTCAGCTGCACCACAGTCATCCTCACTCAGAAATATTCACATCATATCTAGTTGATAACTACGAGAAGAATGTTCAATCTGTGCGACCACATTATGAAAGGTTACTATACTATACTACTATAACCTATTTAACCGTGATTTCAATGTTTCTAAAAACGCAATTGCGTTCATATATGTGCTTTGATATCAACAGTCTGAATGAGGAAATGTCAGTCAGCCGCTTCAGGCTCCGCAGGAGGGGAGGAGTCAGAAAGAAACTCAGCGTTAGTTGAAGTAAACCTCCTCTCGTGCAGGTTAGATTCACAGCGTAAGTTGCCGGGGTTACGGACCTAGAGTTTATCTGATCTCGCTCTCTGAAACCGAAAACCCAGAATTTCCCTCATCTCGGGTTCAACTTACTCAGAGTTTTCACTAAACCCGCTTTCTGAAACAGGGCCCAGGTACTGCAGGTCAACTACAAACAGTATTAACTACAACTGTACACCTATCTAGTACTCCAAGAGGACAGATACAGACAACTTTTACTGGATAAACTGAGGGTTCACATTTAGTGAAGCCCAAATGATCTTACCTGGAACTAAGGAATAGGTTAGCTAGGTGGAAAAAGCGTGCTCTGTACTTCACGTGGAAAACCGAAGGCTCCAGCAGATTATACAACTTCTTGTAGAAATCAGGGTAATCTCTGCAAAAACACACAGACAACATACATATTTATGCAATTAAAATATATTTTTCAGTCAATGTTGTCCTTTATAGATCACTTTGTGTTCACATTTCTTCTACATATTACTGTAATTAATGTGAAAATTAAAAGTGGGCAAATTAACTTCTTTTTCATATAATACTCACAAGTTATGTTGATGTATGAGGACAAAAAGGCCATTGAGGGCCAGCAGGCTGATAGCGCCACCTGTTCAGCAAAACCATAACAAAATTCTGCACCATGATCACCAGCATCACCCATAAAGAAACAATACATCCCAGAGACCAGATGTGAAATTAGCACTGTAAACTTACCAACTTCATAGGCAGCAGTCAAGAAGTCAATCATCAGCGTGGGTTTACTCATGTGGGGCAAAATGGAGTCATGGAGGATCACCAAGATCTTTTTATACATGTTGCTTGGTAACTACAACAAAGGGATAAGAAATGAATGAGACAATGCGTAGCCTTGGCAGCACAGTGTCATGGTCGTGTACAGAGAAAACATTCTGACTATAGAAAATGGTTTAATGTAAAAAGTAAAATAAAACAATAAACAACAAGATTTTTAAATTACCTTATGCTTGAGAAAGCCCAGCCACATCCTCTCAAAGACACGCTTGTGTTCCTGTAGTGAGGTACAACATTTAAAATCGTATTCAGAAAGCAAGTTATGTTAGGTTGCAAGCAGAAATGTGAATTTCTAATTCAAAATATTTCACATACGTTCAGTTTAGCGGCTTTCCAATCCTCATGCTTGGCTGGAGAAAAATACATCATTTTAATGACAGAAAATAGCCGTTTCTCCCCACACAGAAACAGTTCAGCATCATTGCACAGAAGAAACTAAGACTACAGCATTATATCATTGTCAAAAAAAACACAGGTCTCACCTTCTTGTTTGACCATAAAGTTGGTGAGCTCAGACTCCTGGCTTGGCACACTGATGTTGGACATGAGGGTGAACACATTGCTCTGATATACAGGCACTACTGCCTGAGAGGAACACAAGAGAAAAACAAGTAATTTTTACTTTTAAAAAAAAATGTATCTAAATTGTGACAATGAAACAAGCACAGCTACAGCAGATGAAATAAGCACTACACAGATTTCTCTTACCCCTTTGTTTTTGTCCATGACTTTGCCCACATTCTCACGGATAGAGCTTATGACATAATAGCGCACATCCTCCATTTCAAGGAACTCCTGGAATCTGGAGATCAGCAGGGAGTTGTCTGAAGTTTTGGACAGCAGTCTGTCCACCACTGCCTGACCATGAAACAATAACAGAAATATCAGAAGACGCCTGTGCCACTAATGACAAAAAGGTTAATGTTTTTGGAAGACATCAAAAAAACAGCCTTATTTCTTGTCTTGGCTAATGACACGGGTAAACTACTGAAGTCACACAAAAGAACAGATTATGGATATTATTTTATTAATTATACCACTGATAGCCAGACTGCATGACAAAAATCCTACCTGGATAAGTTCTCTTGGGAAGCTGTAGTGTTCACTCCAGTCCAAATCCTCAAGGGGATGCTGTCCTTCTTCTGCAGCAAACTTCATCAGGCAGCATAGAGCACTCTCCTGTATTCAGACAGTAATATATAATAATAAAAAAGCACAACGGTTAACTTTTCAGAAAGATAGCAACTATATGTTGATTGGTGGACCTGAGCGAGTATGCCATGACACTACACATCTACACAATAAAAGCAAATAATCCACCACATACACATACATACTTGCAGCAATAATAAACCAGCTTACAGACAAGAGTTCATTTAACAAGGCCAAAGACAACAAAGTGTTATTATCAAAGAGCGTGTTGCCTCCAGGATAATAACAGTGTACCTAATCATGCTTGCCATTCATTTGTGCAAAAAAAGTGAAAAATGCCCATGCCAAGTACTTCCTGCACATGTCACCTCACCATATACCCACTTTGATATACTGTAAACTTCAATTACTAGCCCGGGCTTTTACTTGATCGATCACTGAACACACCCCACCTCCGTTTGGAGCAGGCATTTATTTGGGGCAGGCCTTTTCCACAAAGCTCTTGCTCAGCAAAGATGGGATATAGGCTCCTATTATATTGTTTAATTTAACTAGTATGAATATTACTTGTTAAAAAAATTGTTTTTTGTTTACCATAGTAGTTAGCGACTCAGTAAAATGAATTGAATGATTCAATTGTGGAGAGTCTTACGATACACACATAGTAAGATCAGCTAGATTTTGTCCATATTCACAAAACTTTAAACATTTATATTTGTATGTGTGATCTAAACAGCTCAAGCGAGCAACGTGGTGGGCTTTAAGAGGCGTTACACATCCAGAGAAGTGAAAACCAGACCAAGACCTGTGTTTATCTGTCAAAACGTGTAGCCACACCAGGCCAGTAAAAGGCAGACAGGCATCTAATTGGGATATGGCTTTCAACTGATGTTTTGCTTCACTGCATGTCTGGATATGTCCATCTGTGTGACCGTTCTAAACTTGTAACTAAAGAAATTAACAAAAAAACATGACTTCATTGTACCTGTTCAAACTAATTTTTTCATTAAGAGCAGCATGTTATTTTGTCGTGTGAGTGAGTGAGTGAGAGAGATTTCAGTCAACTTACCTTGACTCCGTGTAGTTCGTGGTCGAGGTGCTCGAGCAGCATCTCCACACAGCTGTTGTAACGGTGGCGCATGAAGACGCGGTACTTCTCCTCAGCGCTACACCCACCTGGACCACAACAGATACAGAAAACGATGACCTGATTTGCAACCCTAGATCCTTTGTAACCCTGTCAATGTGTGATGTAACGTTACAGCTAAGTCCTCTATGAATGTTATTTAATCATGATGGAAATGTAAAAGATTTCAGAAAGTTGTACCTTCATTAGCATTTTTCATTTGTTACATCATACTTATGAGCTGTAACGTTAGGTACAGCAGTAGCGTTACTGGTGTTAAATCTTTTAACATCCACCTCATAGCTTGGGTTAATAATAATAACGTCAACGTTAATACTCACCACTCAACGCCTCCTCTTCTCCGGGCAGTTTTCCGATAAACAGCTCTTTCCTCTCCAACAGCGTGCAGAACAATTTGCTGCACGCACTAACAGCATTAACAACATCCTTCTCTTTTTCAGACTGCAAAACGGACAGGGAGAGTACTGCTTTAGTAACCCATAGAAGCTGACAAACTACTCGGTGACAATGAAGTTAGCTAGCCAGCATGGATTTAGTCGGGGTGCTCAAAGAAATGTGTTTAACGTTGTAGTTGCTTATATTTACCTGAAGGAACTCCAGGATGTCAAAAACGTCGTTGGCATGTTTTCGACTCTCAAGTATACTCTCGACTTTGCTATTTAGGTCAATTTTACCTGTTTTTTTACTTTGTTCTGGTGTTTTTGCCGAACTCACGTTGCGTTTTTTGGCCGGCGCCATGATTACTGAGTGGTGCTCCGTTCACGTGACGCGAACAATACGGAACGGAACAAAAATAGAAGGCGCACATCCTACAAATGTTATTTTGAATTCCAACTCGTAATTTAGAGTAGACTGTATTAATATTGCTGGATATGGATGTAAATAACATATATACTTTTCATTTGTTTTGTCTTTCATTGCAGTGGAAGTGCGGCAATCATAGTTGTGTGGTGGGAGTTCTACTAAATCCAAAGGTCTATGAATGCAACAAAAGTCCAAAACATTTTGTTGTTACGCCTCCTAGTGACTGGAGGTGAACTTTTAGCTAAGTTTTACCTTTTACTGTATAGTTTCCACCCAGAACCTCCGAGCTGAGTTCTGTCAACACATTACTTTCTAATCAAAAAATGAATTTAAATTAATCGATAACTCTATGATATAATAAAATACATTATATCTAATGCAAAGCCAATCTTCACTCATCATTTTCTTTTTTTCCCCTCATTCCTGTGCCGTGCAATTATAATTATACAATATACATTTTTATTATTTGCTCTACACTATACTGCTGAATATATTTTCGTCCTGTGAAATCATTTATTTATTTCCACAACATGCAACTACATCCAAAAGCGACCTGTGAAATGTTCATACCAATCGCCTACAGTATGTATGGTGGGTGGTGATGGCGCATACATAAAATGCTTGCCTTTGGTGTGGGAGACCTGTTCGATTCCCACTGTGAGACATCCACCATTGTGTCCCTGAGCAAGACACTTAACCCCTAGTTGCTCCAGAGGCGTGTGACTGCAATTGTAAGTCGCTTTGGATAAAAGCGTCAGCTAAACAAGTAAGTGTAAGTATGTATAAACTTTATTTTTCTATTATATATAGCATTTTACCCCATTCTCTTTATGTAATTTAATGTATTGTATCTGCAGCTGCTGCAATCCAATCTTTTTCTTTCCAATTTTAAAAGTCTGTTATCTGTAGCCCTGACATAAAAGCTATAGTGTCCTGTTTTAATACTGAATCAGCACGATCCAAGGTTTGTAGGGATGATTTTACTAAAATCAACATAATTTTCAACAGAAGGCATAAACAGGCGATACAAATCTGAAGACATAATAGCGTAGGAACATTTTGCTCTTTCATGTACATCTCAAACAAAAAATACTAACCTGAGTGTTACGGCTGAATTTTGAAATGCATTCTAGCAGGGGAGCTGGACAGTGGATTTTGTCCCCATTCTGTTAAAGTGGAGTTATGGTAAGGACTTCACTCACTTCACAGCCATTACAGACAGGAGGAATGATTACAGCAACCAATCACTCTTTCAATGTACATATGGGTAGGTGAGTACTGTACTAAGATACATGTATAAGAAAAAAAAATCCACACCTGTCCTTAAGGCTCAGTTTACAAGACAAAAAGCTTAACAGCTTACAGGTAACTACCAGCACTAATCTGGTTGAGACACGGGTTGGCAGAGGTCATCCACATTTGTTAAAGGGTGAAATTAACATTAGGACACAATTAGGGTACAATAAAAAAATAACACAGAGGCTTTTATTATTGTTGTTGTTTGTTTAATAACATTTGTATAAGAGAAGCAGAATCAAATCCCACAAAAACAAGAAAATCTTGGAAGTTATTCTAAAAAAAAAAAAAAAAAAAAAACTAATTCCCTATTAAAGAGACAAGATGTTCTGGTAAGAAAATGTCTCTTATTTCAGCAGGCAGGGTGACCTAATCGGAGTCATTTCTTACATCTGCATTGTCCTGTGGGAAAAGGAGGGTGACAATGAATAAGAATACGTCAAAATGGATATTTAATGTCAAATGTCAGGGGTTTCGATGCATGCTGTTTCACCATTATGACTTCCAGATACCTGTTTCTGGTCCTTATCGTCTCGGGTGTCAGCTGCTGTGGCTTCGAAGTCATGGATAGGAAGCGTAGACATCCAGCTGACCATGGAGCCCTCCTGACACTCTGTCTCGACAATGGTGGGGTAGATGTGAGCCTCTTTAAAAGCCTTGATCGCCTCCTCCTCCTGGTCCCATTCTAGCCGCTCATGTAGCCCGTCCCCTCCGAATCGTTTGTTGTAGCGATCAAAGTGAACCCTTTCCAGCACCAGCCCCAGTCCTGGAGCTTTGGGCACGTCCACCTTCTCCTGTCCCCAGCTCCGCTCCATCACTTCCTCCTTCGCATAGCCCTTTACCACCGCAATCACCAGGCCGATCATCTTGCGGATTTGGTGCAACATAAAGCTCTGGCCTCGCACGGTGATCACTGCAAATTCAGTATTGCTGCAGATAAAAGGCTCTCCACAAGACATCTCTGTGATGTAGCGGCGGGCACTGGGGTCATTTGGAGCCTTCTGAGAGGTGAAGTTGTGGAAGTTATGTGTGCCTTTGTAGAGCGCAAACAGATGGTTTACCTTCTGAAGTGTCTCTGGTGAAAGGCGAAAGGCTGCTATATTCCCGGTATCATAGTCTTTTGGAGATAAGGCCACTGTCGGAAGCATATAGGAGTATGTACGAGCATCACAGTTGTTTTTGGAATTGAAACCCTGGGTTACCCGTTTCAGACCTGTCGGAGCAGAAGGCTGTGATCAATAAAACTGGATCATAAGAAGGAGTTAGTGCTTCTATCCTTTATCATCGCAACATCCTGGACTTGCTGTTCAAAATGTAATACAGCAAATGCTAAACAATATCAAGGACAAATGTCTCACCGAGCACTCTGATCTGCGGTGGCAGATGCTCATTGATTTTTTCAATTATGTCTTCAATCAACCGCAGCTTTAGAGACACCACTTGACCAGCTGCAGACACACCCTAAACAAATTCAAATAGACAAAGACCAACACAGTTTGTCATAATGACATAAAAGTAATTTTGATATATGCTAACTTATTATGCAGCTTATGATGGTTTGTTAAAATACGATAACAACATCCATTACTTTACCCTTGTTTACACATGAAATTGAAAACATACAAACCGTTAGCCGGCAGAATAGAGTGGATATTTGATTCTTCTTCAAAACTTCCTTGTTGGCTTAGGGCTGAGAGATAAATTCCTGTTGTGCTGACTGCACACAGCCCATACCTTATCTGTTCTGGCACATCTTTGGAAAGACATCTTCTTCATGTCTTCACCATGGTTTTCGGGAATGCAGCCAGATTTAATGAGCGCAGTGACCAGGTCATCTTCAATGGTCCTAAACTGAGCGGTTCCGGGATTTCTCTGAAACACAAAACATTTCAATTTAGCAAGACGTTAAAATATATATATATATATATATATATATTTTTTTTTTTTTTTTTTTTAAATCAATGAAAATAAAGTGCTTAGAGCTGAAAAAGGGAAACCAGCTACAGTAGCCTACCTGCATGCCATAGTATCCTTTTCCAGAGTATGCCAAAAGGAGGACCACTTTCTTTTTGGGATACTTCTTTTCATCTTCAGTGGCTTCCCCCTCTGTTTTTATTCTTTTTGTAACCTGCACCCCCTCAGCAGAGTCTTCATTTTCCTCATTGGCTCTTTTCAGCAGCTTGACTGTCTGCTCATCTCTGGATCCTTCACTCATCATGCAACAGAACTTAGAAAGGCCACCTGTGGAGATAATACGAATACTGCGTGATGATGCCCTAATATGCTCCCACCTCTGTGTTACACGGACATTTAGTAGTGCGTTATGTTATGTCCTTTAAACTTAGATATGAACATGACTTACTACTTAAATACAGTTTTCACACATTTAAAATAAGGTCTTGCGAACAGAACAGGAACAGACTCGTTCACACACAGTCACACAGTCTTTATCAGGGTGGCTTACGGTTTCTCCCTGACGTCAGTCTGTGGTTAAATAAGGCACTCAACAGTGGTCGGATTTTAGACATGTCACGCTAAGCCATCATGAGAAAATCCTGTAGCTAAAAGATGCAAAACCAGCTGAACTAACGTTAACGTTATGGAAGCTAACGCGGAGCAGAACAGGGGTTTCTGATTAAACGTTAACTAACTTAAAACGAATCCGTTGACGAAATCAACAATCTCCTAAAAGCGTAGGCCAGCCTTTAAACACAAAATCTGAATGACTATCTTCACGAATATTTATAAATAAAGTACAAACTGCAGCTATATCTAACAGTCCTGTAGTAGATGCAGCAACACACACACATGGCCAATGTCAACTTTGACCCCTCAAATAAATATCGCGAGACTCTTCTTGTTCCCTTTTCCGCATACGTCATAGGTGGAAATTAATTAAATTTACCCTCTCCGTGGAGAAAATGCAAAAATGTAATGACCCTCTTTGATTTCAGTGTTGCCACTGTATATTTTATTTTAAACCTTATGCTTTACGTGGGAATTTTACATGTTGTCCAAACCTTTCAACTTTTTTATTTGATCGTTTATCAAATTTAAGCAAATGATTATTCTTAATCTATTTTGCACGTGTTTAAAGACTGGCCTTCGCGGCCACTATTGTAATCTTTCAACCAACAAATTAATTCAGGATCTCAGCATACAAGCCAACTCTCAGTTTAGCATGTAACATTCAGTGGAACACGATTTTACAGTCAATTTAGACACCCACATGTAGTAATACTTTTGTCCACTTGAGGGCAGCAAAATCACACAAATGGAGAAGTCATCCAGTTTGTTTGGAATATATGTTTTTACAAACGGCACCAAGGTGTATTTTAGGTTGTGGTTTTTAATCTTATCTGGCTCTCATAGACAATCCGTTATTTTTACTCTGAGAAAACTGTAGACAGAATGAGATTTTTGCTCAGGTAGACTTCAAAGGCTATCAGTGAAAGATCAGGGCAAAACATCAACTGAGCTTTCATTGCTCTGTATAATTTTCTGACATTTACTACAGTTTATCATGCAATATGCTAATGTTCATCACCTTGTATAGACTGGTTATGCTTGTGTCTAGAAGTTTACAAAGACTTCCCGCACCTTCACTCAATTCACCATTTTCCAGACTTCACCTGAACTCTTCATTCAATTTAAGCAAACAGACAGGATGATAAATATGTTTATTTTTGTATAAACCAAAGACCTGATGCACAGCATTAACCTTTCTCCTTAATATTTAGTCCATATAAAGCAGTCATTTCTTTATTGATTCACAGTTGCCACTCAGCGTAATGTGGTGACTCATGTAACTGTTGAGCATGCCGGTTAGCGCTTAAGTCAAATTATAGTGGCAAAGAGGTTCAGCACTTCTGAAGCAGAGAGGTATTTATGAATTTCTCAAGGACACCACTACCAATGAGGGACACGGGTTGCCAAGAGGCCAAACCTTTAAACTTCTCATCCTGGGATGGCCTTAGAATGCATACTTGCACTTTTTTTCATAGCACCTTATAAGGTGTTCAACTAGTTTTCTGCTGAAAACCCAATGCCAAACATAGACATGCTATGGGAAAAGGGCCCCCAGTTGTCACAATCCCACATCACACCCGACATGTGCACGTTTTTCCAACAAATGCTGATCTTACTAAACACTTGTGACTGTAAATATGAAAGAGTGATTCTTCAAGACTGGTTTTGCTGGGTGAAACAGCTCAGAGTACCACCATCACCACATGTAAACCGATTGCATTCTTAGCAATTAATTGGATTTAAATAAAATAAATTCTTTAGGTCAGCAGGATAGTATCCTCAAACACTTGTTTTACCCACACACCGGCCTTTCTGTGTGAAATTGTGCATTTTCTCACTGTTTGTCCCCTGGGCATCCATACCCCACATGCACTGGCTCTATTGTAAATGTATGCTGTCCCACAATATGACCTAAAATGACCCCAAGTTCAAATGACAAAGAAGCCTCGAAAGTGGTGGATTCTCCCGTTTCCAAAGAGAGTGTGACCTGGCCTCCCAGTGAGCCACTACACAAGCTGTCAAAACAGACCTAACCCTTTCTTCAAAGCTCACACTCACCTGCACTCCCACATAGTGTGAGCTGGCCACAGTCAAAGAATAACTGCATTTAGGCTTGACAGCACCACATGATTTATTTAACTGTTAAATTTAACCATATAGTGATACTCCAACCAAATATGATAGAGACTGCCTCAGTGAGATGCATTAGTGAAAACTTCCATCCTTCTGTTTTTTGAGACATGTTCCCTTTTTAGAATTTTGTGTGAAATGAGAATGACTGTTAAATGTTTTATTCAGCTTAAGATTATGAATTAACACTTTGATCTTGTCTTTGCACACAATAGTTTAATTTTGAAAGTTCATCATGCTGCAGTGAAAACATAAGCGACCCTGACCTTGCCTCTATCTTGGTTGATTACTAGATTATATTTGTAAATTTCAGGTTTGGAAAACAAATCATAATGATGTTCTGCATTTGTATTTGTTGTCATTATCTTTTTTTAATAACAGGATCATTTATTTCCACATTTAGCCTGTTTCTTGTTAATGAAACACAACAACTGACATTACTGTAGTCACATAAAACCAATTAGGAATTGTCCTTTAACTCATAAATATTCATTTTATAGCAAGTTTATTGTACATATATACATATTACATTTTACCATTAAATGGCAATGCAGTGGTGCCATTAAAAATGGCACCACTTCTTCCCAGGAAGAAGGTCGTGGGTTCAAACCCCAGTTTCCCCATCCTTTCTGTGTGGAGTTTGCATGTTCTCCTTGTATCCACGTGGGTTCTCCCCAGGTGCTCCAGCTTTCTCCCACCATCCAAAGACATGCAGGCTAGGTTAATTGGTGTCTCTGGTAATGCTCATAAACAAATGCTTGGAAAAAGATAAAATCTTATTTGGTATATATTTAAACTAATGTTAGAACAATCTCTGACAGCCTGGCTCTTATCTCAAGCTGTTGTGTGTCTGAACAGTTGCAAATGAAGGCTATTCCAACTGTCCCCAAATGCACAGATTAAGTCTTTCCTTGTCATTGAGCAGGTGTCTGATTGCGGCAGCTCACAGCAATCACAGTGTCTGAATATAACTTTCAGATAGACAGCAGATACTGTAGGCTGCAAAAGACAGAAACTATCTCACACAGGAGCTATCTCATTTTCTTAAGGATTTATATTTTAACTGCATAAGGATAACATATTTCTGTCTGCTTTCTGTAGTCTTAGACATGTTACTGCCCAATTTGACTGTGTGGCATCATTTCAAAGACACCTTTCAGGACTTTTACGGATAAATTCTTCCTATGATAAAAAGGCCAAAGAGCAAATGATAAGGCCTGTGTTATATCACGGACACTGTTGTTCTTTAGACTGAGAGTGGGATTATTCTCTTACAACTCCAATAACACTGACAGATATAAGATAAAATAACCATAACTAACTAATAATATATCTATTATCCATAACCAAGTAGCATTCCTTGGGAGGAAAGTAGGAATTCATTAACATCTAATCTTGTGTCCACATTTACCTGCAACTTTCACTCAAAATAGAACAGAAGATAAAAGAATGTTTTACAGTAGTGAACAAAGTATAAATCAATTAGTGGAACGGTGAAGAAATAAGAAACATGCTTCTATGAAAAGGATATTTTAGAAGAGATGAGAACTGCAAACTAGTCATTACTTGTGATGACTTGTGGAGAAATGTAATAATGTAAGATTAGTCTGTTACTGAGCACATAAACTAGATATGGTATTGATTTTATTACTGTAACAAAAATGGAATTTGACCATTTTGCTTTGTTGAAATCATTTCTTATAGTGCTCAAAAGAACATTAAGTACATTTACTGTACATTTACATTTACAAGCAGGCCTAACAGTTTCATCTCTACATTATTAGCAAGTGTCAGTGTAGCAAAGTTCTCTAAATCAGTCCAAAATGGCTTGGACAAATACAGTGAAAAAATACAAGCTTTCCTTTATAAGTAAAAACCACAACAGCAGTCAACATACATAGCCTACATTTCAAATCTTTAAAGTGCATTCTTCACAGGATGATATACAGAGCTGGCTACCAGAAGCGGAGAGACTCTGCTTCCAGTGCAACAGAGACCAGGTAGAGATTGAGCTACACTTTCCCACCTCATGTCCTAAATATAAAACCTTACGAGATAAACACTTCCCAAACATTTTGCATATATATCCTGAATTCAAATTTAATTTAAATCAGACACACAGAAACTCCCCTACTTACTGGGAGAAATGCCAGAATGCCAAATCATTGGAGATGTATCTCCTCATGCCACAAACTGAGAACAACCAGTGGAAAGTCGGTCGTAGGATTTCCGGTGTCTCCAACCAATGAGCTGATTCCACATGCGGACACTGAACACTGCATTCGACACACGCGAGAACTGCAGCGGACCAACGCGATTGGTGCCGACGAGGATACTGGTGATTCCGCAACACGCACGGAGAACGGGAGAGAAAAGAGCACTTAAGCACATGTTTAAATTATTTGTCTGAACGGAGTTGTTCAGGAATTCGCTGTTTTAAAAGAAGGGGGAGATACTGAAACGCGAAACTGAGACTACGGTGTTGATATGAGTAATTCGTTCGTGGTCTCACAGGAACGCTAGCGGAGCACAGCCGGCGAATTCAAGCGGAGTCAAAGGAGCCCAACAGTTAGCTAGCTGTAGCCTGTATTAGCTGGCGGTTAGCTCAGGAGACGCTAAGTTGTCCACTCTTCGCCAGATACCTGCCCGCTACGCTGTCTTGTACTATAGCCAATTAACCGGTACAGGTCGCCCCGCTCTAATATTTTAAAGTATTTTTTTTAAGTGCCGAGGTGACGTCAAACGGGGAGAGAGCCGTGACAGGTTTGAGGTTGGGACCAACAGGGCGAAACAAGCGGCGTCCTCAAGTGGCCGTTCACCATGGACAACGCACACACAAAGACGGTTGAAGAAGTTTACAGCTTTTTTAACGTGAATGAAAGCACGGGCCTGAGTTTAGAGCAAGTGAAGAAACAACGGGAACGATATGGACCAAACGGTAAGAAGCTGGTTAGTTTATCCTCTTTTTCGTGTGTATTAACTTATCGCTCCCGGTTTGTAACGGCTGCATGCCGAACATAAAGGAAGGTTGTTGACGTCACCATCTGTATGTTGAAATACTGGATCACTTCTGTGAAACATGCGCTGTGTATCTCTAATTTTACTTCACTAATGCTACCAGCAGTATTCTATTATTTTGTACAAGTGCTGACATTTAACTAACTGCTTG